AAAAATGTCGTCTTCGTCCGATTCTTTCGGTTCCCCGAGACGTGAAAATTGTCTACAAGCGTCATCATGCAGACTGTTGTTCCGTCTCTTGCTGGTGTTAGCACTAATCGATGAAGCCGTTGCCAAAATATATCGCTTCGAAGCCTCGTATGGCTGCCCTCAAACAGATATGATTCAGAGCGTCGATGTCTCACATCAAGGGAATGAAGGGTATATCACATTCATAAGCAGAGTCAACGGTGGCTTGCCTAAGCCCAGCTACAGTTGTACCTACACAGCACGTTTAGATGGTATCTGGTATATGGTCCTCGGGGATGCCTGCAACGATCTTTTCGAGGATTCAGACTACTTCTTTAGGAAAGGTCCGTTCGGTTACGATCTCATGGCCGACCCTGTACCCTACGCGCTGTACCTACCGGTCGGCTTCGGCACGGGCAAGCGTTGTGTCACACAATAGATCATCTTGCAGGACTGATCCCACTTACGGGCATCGCATTTATCTCATGATAGGGTTTCAGCATCACTTCAATTTGACCGCTGGCAAAAATTGTCTTGATTACATTGCATTGATGCGTGCCGTATCTTGTTCCGTCTTTTTCAACCATCCACGGGATACCCGTCCTTATTTTCACTTTGATTGAATCGGCAGATCGAGAAGTTCGGCTTGCGTTAGTTGTGAGATTGTTCAGGAGCAACAAGTTTGCCCACTTGGCATTTGGCACTCAACTATAGAGGACCCCTTCTCAAAAGGGGTGTGCCCAATGTGGGAATACATGTTTGGTTCTCTTGGCTGAGGAGATTCCAAAGAACCCATGGGAAGCTCATTCACGATACAAAAGTATCATTGACACTGAAGTCAAACACTGAAGTGATTGACCGATGAGTACGAGTCGTGCCAAGAAGAATGGAGGAGCGTGTGAACCTTGCGCAGTGGCGTATGCGGTCAGGATAGTCTTCTCTGTGGTTGATTGTTCTCATGTGGGGCTTTCCTTGTCATTTGAATGATAATTTTGTTTGTCTTGCCACAAACGGCGAAATACAATGTGAATTGTGCCGTGGGATAACACACCACGGAAACTCATCTATAGTCACTTAATCTATAGTCTGTAACGTAAGACAGTACTCGAAGTGTCGATGACAGATACAATGAGGCAACATGGAGTTAACCGCGCCTTGTCCCCATACTCTGCCTTGTCTCAATGGATTTACCACAACGACAAGCTGTTATTGCTGCACCACCACCGTGTTCCCACAGTTTGGCGGCTCCTAGCGATACACAGAAGATCCCCTCAATCAGCCCTGTGGCTTTCATACATCCCGGCTCCTACTAGGAGCCTCCTAGTATAGGTTACAGCGTTACATGGCGCAGCGCCATAGCGCCATTTGCTCCAGGGTGACTGGGAAAAAAGCTCCACGAACCGTCATAATAACCAATTGTAAACCAGCTTCTAATTTCAACCCCTCCCTTGGAAAAATGTCGTCTTCGTCCAATTCTTTTGGGGCCCTGAGACGCGAAAAGCGTCTACACGTGTTATCATGCGGGCTGTTGTTTCGTCTTCTGCTGGTTCTGACCCTCGTCGAAGGCGTTCTCGGCAAAGTATATGAGTTCGAAGACACTTATGGCTGTCGTAGAACAAAGATGATCCAACAAGTCGATGTCTCACATCGAGGGCATTATGGATACATCACATTCATAAGCAGAGTCGACGGTGGCTTGCCTAAGCCCAGCTACAGTTGTACCTACACGGCACATTTGCATGGGGTTTGGTACATGAAGCTGGGGAAGGAGTGCAACGATTTATTCGAGGATTCGAAATACTTTTTCAGGAAAGGTGCTGGGTACGATCTCATTGTCAGTAGAGGGCGTTACGCGCTGCGCCTACCCGCCGCCCCCGGGAGCTTAGAAGTTGTTTGTTCAACAAAATAGATTGTCCCACTTGCGGGCATCGCGTTGATCTCAAGGTATGGTTTCATCATCACTACAATCTAACCACTCGCAAAAAAGGTCCTGATCACATTCAATTGATGTGTACCGTATCTTGTTGCATCTTTGCTTGCCGTCTGGGAGATACTCGTCATTATATCTACTTCGATAAGATCGACATGTCAAGATGGTTTGCTTGCGTTAGTTAGAGTTTAGCACGCAATTATAGAGGGACCTCTTCTCAAAAGAGATGTGTGCCTTCAATGATCAAGTCCAACTAGTCTTGCGATGTGATACAGAACGCGACTCGGGAAAGTGTGGTAAATGCTATAAATAGCGAATACGTGTCTCATGATTTCGGACTTTGAGCCTTCTACGACTGAGGGGAATAATGACGGGGACATCCAGGAAGGAAGTTCTCGAGTACTCGCGCGAACCTGAGGAGCAAAATACGATTTCAATTCGGATGTCGATCACCTACTTCTGTCCTCCACATCGCATGCTGGAGGCTGATTGGCCGACATTACCTTGTCATACTTTTCGATAGAGCACTGCGGTGCATCATCTAGCTGTAGATTCTGGGGTATAGGCAATAGACCGGCGGGTTCAAATCTACATGCCGCTGGGACTCCGTAAGAAGGCTCTCGTGGGTGGAGGTCAACGTAGACAGCTGCCACTTCCTCTCTGACTCGGTCTGAACGCCCTGATAGCTCACCCTTCTCGACGGCGAGGAGAGCATCATCATACCCATTGAGGAAGGCATATCTCACAAGACGCCTCTCAGCCAGACTAGGCCCGGGTCCTTTCTCTATCATCTCCACATACTCGTCTGGGTCGAACTCCTCATCCTCTACGCCCGCCTTCTCAGCATAGTGAGTATATACCCCTTCCAACACGGCGGCTCGGAGGTTCTCTGTGCTTCTTCGGGCTTCACTCACCTCGCAGATTCCACTTGAGTAATTCCTCCCTCCGACGTTGCAAATGGCATCAATATTTGCTCTGTATCTTTCGATTCGACTTCATTGTTGAGATGCTCGGTTCTTCCCAGCTCACTCTGCGTGGTGTCCTCCAGGTTGAATCCACGCTCCAAAGGAGACTTCAAATCTCCACTGTCATCAACTACTAGTCCTCCATCATCATTATGATCCTCTCCCCGGGTACTAGTATCCCCTTCTTCTGGTAGCACAACGGAGCTCGCCACGGATTCAGCAGCATACGATGAATCTCCAGCGAGGCGCTCCGTCACCCCCGCTCCCTGATTTTCGCTGTCTACAGCAGCCTCGCCATTCCGCGTCGCTAGCGAGTTAACAGTGGCTCCTCTAGGAGACGACCTCCTTTCTGTAGGGGCTCCTGATATTGCTCTACCATGCTGATATTTCATCGCCGAATCCCCATCTGCCAACCTCGCTGCTTCTCTAGAGTTGTCGATTTCCATCCCCTTCAGATGCTCAGTTGCTGCTACGGTATCCTCTGGATGGTCTCCTCTGCGATCCACCATGATTGCCTCCTGTTCGGAGCTGTCCACAGTCATGACCACTTCCTCGCCACTCATCGCCGAGGCCCCGTTTGATGATGACGATGGTACCTCCTCGTCGAGAACTGCGTCCTCCACCTCCCAGGGAGCCTGCTGTACGTCTTCTCGCCCGACCAAAGAGGTCCCATTGGAGGTGAGCGGCTCTATGGAACGCTGACGCTCCAATGAGTCCGGACGGAGATCGTCTTGAGACCCACGCCGCTGCTCATCTTCTTCGTCCGTCTCGAAACCCGTTGCTTCCGACCCGTCCGATTCTTCGTCATCGTCATCCTCCAGTTCAACTTCCCCATAGGAATCAACATCGCCCTCTGATGAGGCTCCGTCTCGCGAAACCATAACTGATAGCCTCTGCAGGGATTTTCGTGCAGCCGCTCCCACCGCTTCCAGGCTTGGTACCCAATCCTGTGTGGTGGCGGTCGACTCGTAGGCCGGTGCCTCAGCCTCACTTTCAGCCAGAGTGACGTGATCAGAATGCTCATCCTCAACAGTCGAGCTCACTTCGATCTCAGAACCACCATGATCATCGGTAGTAAAGCTAACAGGCTCTTCTCCGTCTTGGTACTGTCCATCTTCAACGAGCTCTTCTCCCTCTTGGTACTGTCCATCTTCAACAAGCCCTTCTCCCTCTTGGTACTGTCCATCTTCAACAAGCCCTTCTCCCTCTTGGTACTGTCCATCTTCAACAAGCCCTTCTCCCTCTTGGTACTGTCCATCTTCAACAAGCCCTTCTCCCTCTTGGTACTGTCCATCTTCAACGAGCTCTTCTCCCTCTTGGTACTGTCCATCTTCAACGAGCCCTTCTCCCTCTGGGTACTCTTCTCCAGTGAACTTTTCTCCCGAATTCCGGTCATCATTGCCCATCTCTTCTCTCCCAAGATTCTCTGCATCGTCACCAAGGAGTTCTCCTTCGCGAAGATGCTCTTCTCTGGAATCGTGTCCCTCCTCCGAACCAACTCCCTCACCCCTGCGATCCTCTTGCCCATAGGCTTCCGTCTCACTGCTCCCCCCGGATAAAGAGTCGTCTTTGGTGGTGTCACCCGGTAGGTTAACTTCCACATCTTCGGCAGTGTTGAACCACCCAGCGAATGTGCCAGCAAGCCCGGCAGAGGCTTCGGGTGTCGGCGAGTAGGAGGTGATGGGCTCTACCTCGAAACTATTCAATTTGTCTAGTCTCAAAGGTGGAACTACGCTCCGTCGCGGTGGGTCCTCAGAGGGCACAGCCGCTCGAATGAAAGGAGATCCATCACTTGATATACCCCAAGAGGAAGCCTTCCCATATTCCGATACGGGATGTTCATCGTCAGCAAGCTCCCCTTGGGACTCGTGGACCGATATAACTTCAACTGCTTCACCGTCACTGATGGCAGCAGCTGACCCCTCTTGCAGAGATACTTCAGAATTGCCCGGATCTATAGCGACCTGCTCGTCGGTGTCCCCTAGACCAAACCATGCTAACATCGGGTGAACACGACAACCACACTAACTGCGGCTCACAGTAGTGAGGTGGGTCTACTACTAGTAGATAATTGACAAACAAAACTCAGTGAAATTGAGAAAACAAACACCCTAAACAGTAGGAGATGGGAGAATTTTTCCACAGCATTATTTCGAATTTTCGTGCTGCAAGAACTCACAGAGAATCGGCGCGACCTTCTTGCGACTCGCCTTCACATTGCCTTGATGATACGCTCTCGCTCC